TCCATCTTTTTCACTACATTCTAGAGAAAAGATTTTGTTACTATATTCCAGATAAAGGATGTTGTTACTATCCTCAAGTTACCCAGAAAACACTCAATGATATAAAAGCCATATCTGCCTCAAGTTTGTTGATTGTTAGTGCTATCACCTTTAAAGAATTAAAAGATAAAAATTTCTAAAAATGCGTGCATATACCAATAATTTACAGTAGATTGATCACCGCAAAAATCTACCTCGATTTTAGTTTATAGAGTTAGAATTTGAGATAGTGTGCTACTTACTCTCTTAATTTTAACTATCACTACGTATTTGTCATACTCCTTATTTTTCCAAACACACTTTATTACTGCAAATCACTGAACTAAGTAAGTGAATAACTTTCTACACGGGAGTTTATTATAGCACTGAAGAAGTTTAATCACATAATGTATAGTCCTACACTTGAGCATAAACACACATACCTGCTAAGAGAATATACTGAATGTATTTTAGATATGAAATATATGATACAGGTAATGTGGCAATACTGCTGCAAACTAATGTAGTAGGCTACCTAAAAATTAAGAAATTATCATAATTAATTTGGCATAAAATTATAAACTGGAACAATGTGACAGGATTCATTTTTAAATTTTTACAATAATTATTCTATGTGCACTGGATAACCTTATAGATACAGTTATACTGTATTGTAAAATACTAGCTTTTAAAAAAAGAAATCATTCCCATTGCTCAAACAGCACTCTGTGTGCAGCCTGGATGTGCACACACATGCACACGAAGCACACACGCACTCATACTCATACACACACACTCCTAATCTTACACCTGCTCTGAAGCAGTAGGAAGTGAATTCTCAATCTGTCAACATGACCATCTGGTCTATCTGCATATCACGGCTTTCTCTATTACTATATGAAGGAATGGCAATCACAAAGCCAAAATAAAACTAAAATGCACCTGAATGGGAGTAGCTCTCTTTTGGTTGAAACACAATAATACTGAGCATATCAGAGCAAAACTAGCAGTAATCTAAATAATTTAAAATGAGCATTCACGAAAGCACAATTAAGTGAACAATATGGTACAGGTAATGTGGTAATCAGTAATACTGCTGTACAGGTTTACAGGATAGGTACCAAGCTTCCAAGACACTGAAATAGCTCTTTCAGTGAGTGTCAGGAGTTTTGCTATTCCTGGTCCAAGCAAAATTAAACAAACATCATAGTGGGGTGTCATGAAAGCAATCAGTAACTATTATACCAAAAGATTACTGGGCAAAAGTGGTCACCTTCTACCTTCAAACTAGTAAGTGCTCACACTGCCATTAGGGCAATAGCAGCTCGCTTTGACACCGGCTAATTAACAATTATGGCAATTACCTGACAAATTTTGATCACTATTTAGTCTTTCAAAGTGAATTTCAGGACCACTAAAAATACTTCCAATCTTAGAAAATAACTCATCTGCAAAAAGTGAAGGAGGTTCATTGTGATTTAGCTTTTGGGCCTAATGCCACTTGAAAAAGTAGTTGAATTTAACATAAATTCATTTGTTTAATTTTAGTGTTTAAATGTCTTCACAAAGCTGCCCCAGAGCTTTCAGTCTACTCCATGGCAGGTAACAACTATCAAATATAAATTGTGACACTGTCATTCTGTGCCCTAACTAGAACAACCTACCTCTATCCAAAAAATGAGTCCTTAAAAACTTTAACCTCTTACCAAATTTAACTAACTTGACTGAGAATCTTTCTGGAATCTGATTACATTACCAGAAGTTATACAGAAGCAGTTTAAAAAAAAAAAAAAAAAAACTCTCCAGAAAGTTCTCGGTTGAGTGCCTACTAATGAACAAAGGTTAACTTTATCTAAAAGGTCAAATGCCTGGTGGCTAAGGTTATGACCTTAACAACTTAAATTGTGACCTTGCCACGTGCAGGGTATATTGTAGATTCTGATACAGATCATCTGGTAAAGACTGGTCATAAATTAGCTTTACTGTTACACACCCACAAAGAAAAGCATTTGCCACAATACCATAATATCTCCATGTTGTCACAGGATACATGGGAAGGGCTATTCAAACAGAGACCGAATTAAGGGCATAAAATGGTTTTGTTCTTTTATACTTTTAACAAGATGAAATTCTCAGGCTTATGGAATCACTCTGATTATACTTGTTACTGTTTATCAGCCACAAAATTCACACAGTTCTAATGTCACTGGATTTAGAGGAAAAAAACTGGAATGTAGTTTATGTGTTATATTTTAGCATCCCAATAAGTCTTAGAATGAATCACCTCTGCTTTTAAAAAATGATTGATTCTGCATTTGCTTCCAGTATTTACATATACATTCTAAGGTTTCAACTTCCTACCAAAGAAAAGGTCTATGCATGAAGCAAGAATTATTATACACATTTTTAGAAGGAAAAGAAGATCTAATTTCTGTGGCCATCTGGGGGAAAATAGGCATTTTAGAAGGAAAAAAAATACAACATTTCAAAAGAAAGAGAGAGAAAAAAAACACATTATAGGTGAAAAGGCCACAATGGTTTTGGCATGTATCTTGAAGCACGTTTCAGAGTCTCTGCCTCCTGCCAATACTGGCAAGTTCTCAAAACTTTTAAGGAGGTAAAAACATTGTTTAGTGTTTACAAATCTTCAGTATTATAACAGATGCTTGTCAAATCAGTTGTATGTAAGTTGACCGATCTACCTCATATTTGTATTGGCAGCTTCCCTTCCACAAATAACAGGTCTCTAAGTCTCTTAAATCAAATTTGAAATATTTTCAGACAAAAGGCCTTTAATATTTTCTTTTACAATCTTCCTGTTGCGCGCACAGAAAAGTAGCCATTATTGCGGTCCTGTGAAAACCAATGGCCAAACACTTGGCTGGTATTCAGGCACAACAAGGGATTGTGGGATACAACAGGAAAACCAAACTGAAAGGTAGTCTGATCCCTGTTGCTGTCCATAAATCTTTCATAAGCAATAAGGATGCTAACTCTCCTAAGCAACCTTCTAAATGTCATTTTACAACACAAACCCTTCAAGGATTGCAACAAATGACAACTGTGTAAGCTCAAGGATTTGGAGCAATAGCATAATAACAAACCAACAACAATGAAAGAAAATACATTTTCTACATTATCATGCATTACATTTCGTAATGGGAATAGCTAAAAAGGTTGTATTTCTTTAAATCTAAGGGAAATGTTTAAGTAAAAACTTAGAATGGATATATTGCTTACACTGATAAAAACTTCACATCTATTTCATTTTGATGTTATCTCGTAAGAAAGCACAGGTCATGATCTGCATTATCTGTTGGCACCCTCAAGTTTCTATGTTGATAAATTATTCGTTATAATTTATCAATTATTTTTTTAAAATATCTAAAAGAAGAAACACAAGATTGCAAAGCATGCTTCTAGAAAACACTTGTAACACTCATACTTTTTTTTGCACCTTGCAGAACTTAACATATGCAAATAGATTAAGAAATTTTTTAACTTTGCTTTTTCAATAGACAAAACGAATTAACAATAGGGTTAAAAGTAGGTTAAGGAAGGGCTACCTGTTCCTGTTTAGAGGTCATTTGACAGGTGCTGCCTTTTCATTTTTGCTACCCAAAGCTGAAGCAACAGGCAATTATTATAAGTAAGTATACATTTTCAAAAACCCAAATATCTGAAACTCTTACAGATTACATCCTCTAAAATACTCATCTGCCAACAGAATGCAAATGATGATGGGACATGCTTACAAAGTTAATTTCTCCAGTTTCTTATGTAAGGGCAGATAAATAACAAAAGTTCTCTTTCTAAAACACATATTGAGAAAAGCAATATAAAACAGGCTACCAGCTGACTTCTTTAAATTAATTCTAAAAACGTTTGGAAAAACAGCGCAGTGTTGATTTGACAGGTAACATCTCTCTCCTTTGTGGAAAAAATACAGAAATATATAAACCCCAAAACAACCTACTAGTAGGATTCCACAACCTTCTTTCTTCCATCTGGCTCAAGTAACTGCCATGAAGGTAATCTAGCAAGACCGATATGTACATATAAAAAGTCAACAAGTTACACAAGACCTGAGCTTTCACATAACACAATGAGCCTTTTGTCTAAAACAAGACGAAAGGAACAAAGTAAAAGTGCATTATTTTATCCAGTCCTCAATAATTTTATCCTGAATGCCATTCTAAATACTGAACCATGTACAGATAAAACACACCTTGCAGAAACAATTAAAAATTTTATAATAAATCAAAGCAACTCACTACATTAATTATCAATAGCGATTTCTCAATGTGTTCACGCACTATACAAGTTGGTTACTTTTAATATTAACCTCTCCATCAATTACTTGAAGAGTTGGTTGGTTGGTTTCCCTTAGCTATCTGAGACAACACTAAGAGTTCCTGAACACAAAGCTACTAAATCTGTATATTAATGTGATTATTTTTCCTTCATAAGTGATCAGCAATTTGATAGTAATCTTACCTCCAACTTCTTAATTGGCAAGGAGTTCAAGAGGCCCCAGCAGGTTAAAAACACTCCCGGCAGAAATGCAACTAAAAATATTGCCTCGATACCAAACTAAGTGCTTTTTAACCAAATCGCTTGCCAGTTAAAATACACTCTTTATTACAACGGTTTTCATGAGGCTTCTCTCAGCCCTCATCAAAAAATGTGATTCAAACATATCACATATCTGATTACCAACGCCTCTGCAAACACTACTTACCAAAAGAACTGTACTTCCCGAGAATTGTCTCAAAGCTATGCTTTTCCACCCGAATCAAGGTGGCACCTCATACACAGGAACTTCAGGCTATCCTGACTTGGACTCATCTCTGAAACCACACTGGCTTTTATGTACGCGGCCTGCAACCTGGGGAGTTCAGGAAGGATCCAGCATAGACGGAGGCCATCAGGAAGGAAAAAGCACACAAGAAAGTGGGAGGAATTCTCACCATCGCACTTACCTGCTGCATGCACAAAGTATGCCAAATATAAATCGAGTTCCTTAACAGAAACCCCTATGTGATGGGGTTGGACACAGAGCCCTGGATTAGAGCATTGTGGGGACTTTACAAGGCGCTCGCCATCAGTACTTTCCAGCGGAATACCTTTAAACAAAATCACCATAACAAGGTCCAACCTCCAGACTTTATCTGCCTGGCGGAGGCAGTCAATTCTTCGCATCTTGCCTTTCTGGTCTGGGTTGGAAAGAACACAACATGGAGGTTTTTTCCCTGTAACTGTAAGAACAAAATCCTCTCGATACTCAGGTCGGATATCTTTCCGCAACTTTGCCAGAAGTCGAGATGCCCACTTCTGCTTGACCTCTGGTTTTTCACTTAGCAACTCATCCTTCACGGCTCTCTCCTCTTCTTTTGACATACGCTTTTCATGTTTTTTGAAGTATTTTCGTTTTCGGGCCTGCAGGTTGAACCATGTGTAGGCGAAGGCTCGGACGTGGGGCAGAAGTGCTTCGATGAAAGGATGAAATTCATCCTAGGGAAATGAATAAAAAATAAAACATGAATATAATGGAAACAAAAGGAAGCGACTTTTCTTTAGATGGTTACCTTAAAAAAAAAAAAAAATTTCTCATTTCACTTGAAATTTGATTCAAGCATTATGTTACCGAAATCATGCACAGGAACCCTACAGGAAGTGTGTGTGTGTGGGTGGGGGGGGACAGTGGGAGAAAAACTATAGGCATCATTTCTCATGATCTGAAAGAAAAAAAATTGCTAAAAATTTAAAAAATGTTTTGATGTGTTCACCAAAGTGTACCAGCTTCTACTGTCAGGCCTAGTTCCTTAATGCTTTAGATAGTAAGTGAAGTTTACCTAAATGCTTATACCAATATATAATCTTAACCCTATTTCAAGGAAGGCATATCTAATTTTGTCCCAGCCTTGACCTCACCATTTGTCGTACAGCCAGGGCCCAGCCGCCAGATTGGCAAATCCTAAACATTTAGATGCCAGTCAATGTTTATGGAAGTCTAGGAGCAAAAATCATCTCCACAATCAATGAAAACAAAGGCTTTCCCTCTAAAAATACTGCATGTAGACTCTGATCTGTTTCTTATTCATTTTTGGTAATATCTCTATTCTTCCTTTAAATATTATAGTGACATGTAATTTTTTTAGTCAGAAACTTAGGAATATTTGGCAGATCCATATACAAAAGAAGGGATGAATTTGATATTAGGCTAAAAAAAAAAAAAGACCTATGTCCAAGACATAATTGTTGATACTATAAGAATGAAACAAAAAGGAATAAAAAAGGAAAAAAAAACAAAGAAAAGCATACAGGCCAGAAAGTAAATAGAATGTGTCATTGTGACAACACTGTTGCAACTGAATACATTTAATTTACTGATATGATTGTGAAATGCCTTCAGTAATAATCATCCCTAAAAACAGATTATTTAATTTTTTTAAAAATAATATTCCAGGTTTTCTTCGCACAGGGAAACAGAGAACCCGGTATATTCAATGTTTATGAGATATCAGGAAAACCCTCATGATCTCCTATTAAAATTCAGGTAATGTGAAAATAAAATTGAATTCAAAATATTTAAATTTTTCTTCTTATTTTATTCACTATATTTGATTCTTATATGTGACATTTTCTTAGGAAATATAAATATAAAAATAAAAAATAAATTAAACAGTAACCTCTACAAGGCTTTCAGAGTACATTCAACTTTTGATTAACTAATCCACACTAACGTTACATAACTTCTACCACACAACTCCCCCTTCAAAAGATAGATTATTTACTTTCAAGTAAATAAGGATGCGAAAACCAAAGAGATATTTGATGACTTTTTGTTAAAGGCTGTAGGGTAGACAAATATTATAAAATGCATTCTCTTTTGGTGTGTTATATCCATCTTAAATATATCGTTTCAAGGCACAAGTAACTGTAATGTCCAAAATATTATTATTATTAAAGCAATTATTAAATTTTTTAATGTTCAAATATAAACTGAGAAGGTAAAATTGGTAAAATATTCTAGTAGTCAAGTCCATTAAAATTTTACAAATTATAATCAATCATTTAAACAGTACATATGACTGAGTTTTGAAAAGTAAATATATCATAATATAATACACAATAAATCACTTCCATAATTGACCTTTTTTCCTCTTTGCATGAATTTCAGGCTCCGTGTTTCAAGTTTAGCTTTGAAAACTGCCCTTTTTCAATAAAAGAATCCAAAAGAGAAGTAGTCAGCTTTCATAACATGTGTGCATTCTTTAAGTGGAAGGAGAATAGAGAAAAATACAAGAATTATATTAATCCTTACCATAAACCATTAGAATTTTTTTAAATTTCTGATGTTTGAGAATATTTCTTATTCCCATACTTTAGAAGAAAATAAATGGGAGGCAAGTCACAGTTAATCTGCAAAGGTATATGCCAAACCACAAAGCAGTTAAACATTACTAAATTCTGAGCTCATCCTTGAAATGCCCTAAAATACATAAATTTTAGGTTTGAAACAGAACTTCATATGGACTGATTTTCTTATATATACAGCACATGCTGGGGACCAAGGCTTTGTGGTATTATGCAAAGAACTCTTGGAGTCCACCTTAAACTACAAAGTGAGCTTTCACCAAAAGGAAGATTTCATTTTAAAGTATCAGTCCCATTTTATAATATAAAGGATAACTTAGCTCCAAACACATCTTTGTTTAAATGCTATCTTATTTAAAAGCTTGATTAATGATAATAAACGTATAAAATAAACATTCTAATATGGCATTTTAAGTGTTCAAAGATACTACCAATATGTTTCTTAAAAAACTTCGAACTGCATTCATTCGTGTTCAAAATGATTTTGTTTACCTGCCAACCAAATGTCCATATATCTCATCATAAAAATCCTTAAGACCAACTATGTCAACTAGTAAGAATAATCTAAGTCCCCAATTTTGTATCAAAAAAGTATTTACAACATATTACTCCCCAAAGGTTTCAAGAATGTGCCAATAAAAGTACACAATATTTTTTATAACTTTACTCACATGTACAATTAAAGTGTTAGCTAATTTTTTCTAATGTATCTTTCTCAATTCATGATTAAAAATATTCCAAAATATGAGAACTAAAGAATATGATTAGCTTATAGGAAATGACAAGGAATAGCATAACTGATGAGTTAAAAAAAAAAAAGATAGTAAGCCTTATAAATCATGTTGCTGAACATGTCGCCATAAGCTATGTAATATTCCAAAATATTCAAGAGAAAACAAAGAATATTTCACATATGTACTCAGTGAGAAAGTTATAGGCCACCAATAAAAACAAACCTGAAAACCTGTTTCCAAAGTGGTATTATTTTGAATCAGCATCTTGAAACATTGATCTGTTTGAAAGTAAGCCAAGTTTAAGAACCACTGAATGCTGATATTTCTAGAAATTACTTCTTTTAAAGGCTCACCTCTAAATTTTTGCTGGGATATCATCATACAGCCAGTACACGATTTGGTTGATATGCCTATCCTGGATTAAAATAAGACGTCTAGCATTTTCTTGGTAAAGTTTTAAAAAATTGCATACAAGTTAAATGGAGTTTATTCTTTCATTTAGAGTACTTTTATCGCTGTTATTCCTAGATCTTTTTTTTAATGAGCAATAAACTACCTAAGTTTTTCTTTTTAAAACTGGCTCTAAAGCATTATAAATATTTCAGCAAGTTAAATAAATTGTAAATCAATTTTTAAAAGAAGAACCCATAAAATATATGAGCCCTCATTCACTATTTATTGTACATTTTCTTCACAAACTGTTACACTAAATAAGCGTTTCTCTTAGTGGTGTTTCCAGAAGAAGGCCTAGTGAATGCATCAATCAACCCTGCCAAATATGTAGGAGGGAAAAAGAAAAAAAGAAAAAAAATAACTTTCTTAATGTGATAATAGCTTTTAAATCAAGAGAAGCCAACTTTGCTAAATACCTGACTATGCCCTGGGCCTACATGGATACGCAGGTATCCTCATTTATGTACAATACCAAAATATAAATTTATCTTCTCAGAGCTCACTTGAGAAGACACCAGTGTATCTGTTAGGGCCCTTTCCCTCTGTTGCAGCACACTGGTATGATCTACAAGTTCTATGTATTGCAAACTTCTGCCAGCTAGAACTTCAGCCTCTGAATCTCAGCATTTTCACTGTATTCCGTAATTCATTCAAATTATCTTACACTTTGCATCTTATCCATATGCAATTGTGAATCTTGCCAGAAGTGGTTGGAAAAGTTTCATTCCATACTTCCACAACTTACTAAAATAGGAACTTGGGAAGTTTGTTAGGAAAGAAAAGAAAAAAAAAAAAAAACTTTTACAATAACTAAAAGCAACTGCTATCCATTATTAATGTTAGGCCTAAATCCCAAACAGACCATTTCAACATAAAAGATGCATTTAGGAGTCTTCTGAGATCAAATAGCCGGTATTATTACTGTTAGATATTGCAATAAGAAGGGATGTCATGTGGGAAATAAATCCAGACTCTAGACAGGAGAGAGAAAACTACTGATACTTTTTAGCCTTCCAGAAAGTATTCCGGTTAAACCGTTATCTTCTGCTAAATGAAGGCAAGAAGTGGTAGGCTTTTTTTTTAAGGGAGTGGTGAATAAACACTTTATTTGAAGCATATATCTTCATGTAGGTGATTAATGGTCAGATCGCAATGTACCATGGCAGAGTGAAGGCTCACACTTTTTGTGTAAAAAAAAAAAAAAAAATTCTTAGCTCAAAATCACTTTGACTTGACGCCTTTTAGTCAAAGAAAATAAGTAATATATTCCAAAGGGTCCAGATTTGGGTGGCGAAGTGGCAGTATTTTGCCTGGGGGTGGTGCAGACGAGGGAGGGACGCACGGGGAAGGCTCGGAGAGGAGGGGCGGCGGGGCGCGAGAGCCCCACGCTCCGAGTTGCGTCCGAGCGAAAGTTGCCCCCGTCCTGCACGCGGCGGCGGAGTCGCGCGGGGCGGCGGGGGGAGCCGCGCCCGGCCTGGGCCGCGCTCGGGCTCGCGGCCGGCAGCCCGACTCCGCCCGGCGCTCCCGGCCGCGGCCCGCGGCTCGGCCGCTCGCCGCCCGCGCGCCGGGGGTCCCCGGCCCGAAACTTTCACTCGGGAAGCGGGCGGGCCGCCGGCGAGCGGCGGACGCAGGCTCCGCCCGGCCGGCGCGGGGGCGCGCGTCCACGCAGCCCCGCTCCGCCGAGGGCCAGCCGCCGCCTGCCTGCGTCCGCGGGCGCTGTCCGGGCCGGGGCCGGGACGGTGGCCCGCGTCCCTCCCGCGGCCGGACCCCGGAGGCTCGGCCCACAGTGCGCGAAAGTAAGAGTTCGGGGAGGCGGCGCGGGGCTGCGGCGGCGCGGGCTCCGGCGCGCGGGCCGCGGGCGCAGGCTCCGAGGCTCCCGCACACGGCTGCCCCGGCCCGCCCGGGCGTGCGGGGCGCGCGGAGGGCTCCGTCGGCGGCCCCCTCCCCGGGCGCCGCGGAACTACAGGAGCCCTGCTCGCGGCTGCAGAAACGCTGAGTCCAGATTTCGGCGTGTCATGGGCTGCAGCCCCGCCGAAACACGTGCGGGGCGCCCGGAAACACCGCCGTTCCGCAGTCCGTCGCCCCGATATTAATTAACGCATTAATAAGAGGGCGCCATTAGCCATGTGCCCACACAAATGGCCGTGCAAGAGGAATGCACCCGCATGGAAACAAAGTTACTTTCTTGAAGCCGTGCTTCTCCCCCCTCTACGGGCACACGCGCGCACACACAGAAACACGCGCACTCTCGGCACACGCCTGCACACAGCCCGGGCCCGGCGGCGCGACGGCCCGGCGCCCCCTGCCCGGCGCAGACCTGCCCGCCGCCCGGCCCCCGCCCTCCGCATCCACGCAGCCGCTTACCTGGGTGAGACAGAGCGGAGAATACATAACTGCCGGGCGCCGGGGTGTGCGTGTGCGTCTGGGTGTGCGGTTTGGAGGTGTGCGTGAGTGTGGGTGAGAGAGCAGAAAGGGGGAGAGAGGAAGAGAGAGAGAGAGAGAGGGAGAGAGAGGGAGAGAAGGGGGGAGAAAAAAAAAATCAAGCCTGCTTCTTGCGTTCACATTTCCAACTCGGCTCAACTGCAGCCAGCCAGCGCTATTGCCGCTCCATGGGCTGAACTTTAACCCCGCCTAGAGTTTCCCTACACTCCACTATACATGTCTACTGTACGCGGGCGTTAAAGGCATAGCGCACCCTTTCCCGCTCCCGCGCCGGCCCGGCCGGGTGCCCGCGAGCTGCCCGCGCGCCCGCCTCCGCCTGCGCTCTGCACCGCACCGCACAGCCGCCGCCGCTCGCGCCGCCGCCGCGGGGGGTGGCGCGGGGAGGGGGCGGCTGCGGCGCCGCGCGGCCAGCCGGGTCCGAGCCTCCGCGGCCGCTCGCGCCCGCGCCCGCCCGCCCGCTGCCTCGCCGGCGCCCCCGCTCGCTCCCCGGGCCCCCCGCCCCCGGCCCCGGTCAGCGCGTTACTGGGTAGCGCAGCGAGGAGCGGTTACAGTCTGTGCTCCGGGGCCGCTATAGGCTGCCACAGGATGTGCTTAAGCAAACAAAACTACTTTTCCTCGTCCCCATCCCCCCGCCCCCGCCGCAGACCTTCGCGGACCTCGGCGGAGCACTTGGGCAACTTTGCCAGGTTGCTGCCCTGCACCCCCGGGCCGCTGCGTGGGCACGTAGGGAGCCGAGGAGGAGGCCGGGCGGCACATTTGCATGTATGCAAATCTCTTTGAAAAATCAGACCTCCTAGGTAACTTTTTTTTCCCCCCCTCCTCTGAAATGCGGTAAGGCTCAAAGCATTGTAATCTCTCCGGCGAAGCTTTCTGTGGGAATAGATTCGTCGGCAGAGGTAATTATGCACACAATCCTGCAAACTTTGTGCAGCTTCAGTCCTATGGTATTCAGAAGCGGGGGTGGCGGGGAATAATTTCACACAGAAGATTCACCCGCATTGGGGGGTGGGGGGAGTTGTCTGGAGAAAGGAAGGCGGAGATTAATGAGCGTTCTCCCTTCCAGGACTGTGAAACTAGTGGGTTTGAACACAGACACCACACAAAAAGTTCTATCACGTTCAGAAACAACAGTGGTTTAGCTGTGACATCTTTTTCTTTTTAGGAGGGAAAAAAAAGTGAAAGGGATGTCCCCTTAGGGAAGGAAGATATTCTGATCCACGAACGCGTGCCCAGAACTGGACACAGGCTATCATTACCGTCCCTGTGTCTGAGGCACCTCTGCAAGGGTGCCTTTTAAGAATCCCCTTTTTCCCACCCCCAGGTAATAGTTCTTAAAATGGAAGAGAACTTCCTGCAATTATTTTAGGTTTGCTAAAGTATTGTTTTGGCAGAAAAGGGGGGTGGTTTTTAGGGTTTGGCAAGTTGCCAATAAGCCTGCTTTTCCAGTTTTTTTTTTAACCTCATATTTTCTCCCTAGGCTCTCCTCTCTCCTGGGGTGGGGGGGGAGTATACCTGCCTCCTCCAAACCCTATCCCATATTTTCCTCCTCCTCTCCCTAATGGTAGTTTGCAGCCTGCTGCATTTGACACCCTTCTCAAAATTCCAAAAGGAAAGAGGAGGGCATCACGTTGAAAGATACTGGCACAAAGACAAGGGAATCTGCTCCTTGATGGAGGTGACATAGCTAGAGAGTCTCTGAAGAGAGCAAATTCCTGTAGGAATGCCCACTCGCATCTGAGTGATGTGTTAAAGCCACTCTCATTCAGACTTTTTTTTTTTTAAGCAAAGGGCAGGAAATATTCTACTGGAGAAAGAATGAAATAAAACCTCTGAAATAATTCTGCATCTATTTAAAGTTATTTTGTGCTTATACTCTAGTTAGTTTATTGCTAAAATAATTCCTGAATGCTCAAGAAACCTTTTTCTCGTCCCCTCCCCCTTCCTGCCCCCGCTCTCCTGGACGTACTTGGAAATCGCTTAGATTATTTATTAAGAGGTGAGGGGAAATAATTTCACCCTTTAATGAGAGAGTCCATTTTTCCAAACTAAGCAACTGGTTTTCCTTGGTTCCTCTTGGATTGCAGCAGGGGGAAAATGTCCTAAAAGCTAACCCGAGTTACAGAGACAACATCCCTGGCCACGAAAACCTTTGCTGGGATCTATAACTTCGACGCGCTCCAAGTTTCCTCGATAGAAGTTTCTGGCTGACGGTCCCAACATGTAACTGAGGCACAGTGAGAAGTTATTGTTCGGAGTGTGTACTCTTGGGAAGCTCTCTTCCAGAGCAGATTAAAATCTTTCTTTTGGTGTATTAAAAGATACACTTCACATCTGCCTCTTTTCAAAACAGCAAAGATTCTTACTTTTGATTGAGTCTCAAGAAAAAAAAAAAAAGGTTGTGTTTTTTTAAGGACTGGCACGTCGCCCTTTTTAAAAAAAAATGGGGGAAAGTAATTTAATGCTGATATTTCTACTTTAAAAACTTCTTTTGTTGCAGCAGTGGATGTGCCTGCGATTTCCAGCTTTCTGCGGTTAGCAATATTATCTTAAGTAACTTTTGGCGCCCTTCGTAAGACTTTTGGATATGGGACGATTGTTTGCGCCCTCTAGGCAAGGGCTGGATCCAAGTTCAGCACCAAAGCCCTTCACATCCGCTCCTGCTTTCTCTCCTATCTCCGCCAGCTCTCGCTCCCTCCCCCGCAGGGGTGGGGGAAGGAGGCGGGGGAAACACTACAAAGCACAGTTCCAACTACAGCCTTTGGAAACAAGACTGAGAAAAATACAGTAGAAGAGTTACAGTTACAGAAAGGCTTCTGGTAACTTTCTCTCCAACAGGCATAAATTTAAACACACACACAAAGAAACAGATGTTTCTCAAAGGGCAGACTGGGGGTAAAAAACATTTCCAACTCTCTCCCCTCTTTCAAGTTGCAAAAGTAAATCCTGTCTAGAATTGACAAAGATACCAAGACACTTGAGAGAGAGCAGGGATGGAGGGAGGAAGAAGAAAGGATAGTAAAGAGAATAGTGTAGGAAACACAGGTGAAGTGCAAAAACTAGTTTGCTGCAATCATATAAATGACCCATTGTTAGGAAGGATAAACCCCTTATTGGAAATAACTGCTCCAGTCATTTATTTTGCAAGTGGTAGGAGGCTGCCTTGAAATGGGATTGTCTCTGCGCAAAGGAGGCTCCTGTCATGCTCTCTGCTATCCATATTCTTCCTGGCACAGAGCCCAGCCTTGCATTTACTGTGTTTTATTTGCAGAAACATTACCTTGCCAGCTTTAGTGAAATCCTCTTAGATATATAAATTACGTCAATAAGGTTTCACTTATATGTACATCTCAAATAGCTCTCATTTTGGAGGTTACTTAATAGGGAGATCTTATTAATATGATTTAGATTTTAATGCCCAGAGCAGTGAAGATAGGACTGGGATTCCTAAGTGACAACACCATAACTCTGTAGTTCTTACCAAGACTAACTTTATTAACTAGCATTTTTCAACATTTTTTTTTCTCTAGTTTTTGACCTGGTGGTCACTTGTGTGCAGATTTTTCTTATGTGCATATAATCCTAAATGAAATCATGTTGCCGAAGTGAGCATCCAAGTGAATTCTTACATCAAATTTCCAAACCAGATTTGACTGGAAGGCCTAAAGCCTTGGGAAACAGCTCAATGGGAATTTAATCCAAAGAAAGGAAAGAGGCCATATTATTTTCCATTCACTCCCCAACAGAATTAGGTGTCTACGCTGCTAAAAGAGGAGGAGATGGATATATTTTAGTCAGAGGCTGCCAGTTACTGTCTCCAAGACAAGCTACTGCAGTTGGTTTCCACTGGATTAGTATCAAGGACTTGTCCAAGAGGCCAGACTCCAGCTAAGTTAGCAAGTCAGCAATCTTCCACACTTGCACTCTCCACAGGGGTTGTTGTGGTAACAAGAAGAAATGTGAACTTGGCCAGTCTTAATATCCTATTTGCTACTGACCATATACTTAAACAGCAGAACTCAAGAAAGACCAAGAAAAACCACTCCCCCTCTTCCTTTTCAATGTATAAAACAGCTGTCAGTCCACCTGTAAAACATTCTCTCTTCCTTAAAACTGTTGTTTAAAGTTCAAGAGGACAGGCTCACCCATTCTTTCAAAGTGCTTGAAATGCCAAAGCTTCTAAGACAATCAAAGTGAGAAGTTTTGTAATGCTGAGTACACAATATATTACTTCCCAAACCTCACTATAGACCCACAATTCAGGCAACATGTAAGCTACACGTTTCTAAAAGAAGTTGAACCTCACCTTCCATAACGGTTACCAACTTCCCTGAGTTTAAAAATAATAACTCATGCAAAGTTAATAACTCATGCAAAGTTATTTCTCTTGCAGAATTTTTCTGACTTTTTCCAAAGGGCAAGGAAGAAGGCATACGATTCAAGCAAAAATCCTCCGATCAGCTTTTTTTTTTTTTTTCTTAAACTCAAAAACTCTTTCCTATTGTGCTTGCTAAATCCGGAAGAGCTCGTAGCTTTGACAGCTTGAACCACACCATCCCCTTCAGAGCCGCAGAGAACTTCAGATCTCCTCTGCCCCGCCCCCTCTGGCTACTGAGAACCATTGTACACCCAAGCGTTCTCATGATTGGATAGAGCTTTTGTCAATCTCCTATGTTGTCCCATTGATTAGAGGATCAAATCGTCAATTATTCTCCTGGTCCAGACATTTCTTTTCGGGTTAGGTTGAGTGCTGAGGGCAGACGTCTTTTACAGAACAGAGCACGTACAGGATTTCCCCCCACCCCTTTCTGGAACCGAGCAAGCGCTAGGAGGAAAAAAAAATCTGTCAAGCTCAGCAATTTTTTCAAATCCCGAAGAAAAAAAAAAGGAAACCCGGTCTCTGATGCACATAGCAAAAACACCATCCGCAAAGCTAGCTACATCTTTAAAGCAAAACCATCACAATAGACATTTACCCAGAAATCACTTAAGTGCATATGCGAGCTAGAGAAATGTTAAAGTCTTAGCCATTAAATAAAATCATTTCTACCATTGTTGTTTATAAAACACATATCACATAAATGCAAAATAGAAAGTTTAAGATGTACCACGTACCATTGCAATGTAAAAAGAGTACGTGAGAAACTTTAAAATGCTCGGACGAATTGCTTCATTTGTTGTCCCTTTTTTTTTGCATTTTAAAATTATCTAAATAAACTTGGAACCGTTGAAAACCCGGAAGAGATTTTTTAAAAAGCTGTTGGCCAATTGCAGGCTTCTTGGAGATTTTTTTTTTTTTTTACTCCAAATCAGAAGGCTTTTGCAATTGCAATTCTCATTCTCTCGCTCGCTCTTTCTCTCTCTCTCTCTTTCTCTCTCTCTCTCTCTCTCTCTCTCTCTCGATCCAACCTGGGCTGGCTGGTTCTCAGATTCTCTCTCGTTTTGCCTTGCGTGCTTTGGATTGTACGAGACTTTGCAGAAGTTGCAATCGAT